ACCGTGTGGCCCTGAAACTTTGCTTTTGTAATACTCAATATTTGATGGTAGACTACATTAGGACTTTAGAATACTGGTTGTAGAAGTGTATGCTCTAGTAGTTAGCGTTCAGGTATTCCTCTGAAAATACATCTTGAATAACTCATCAAATAATCTTATTTCCAAATTTTCTTTTATTAATAGGCTGAACATGAACTAAGTCTGGCAAGGAAGATGCTGCAGTGGAAGCCATGGGAGCCACTGGTGGAAGAGCCTCCTGCCAACCAATGGAAGTGGCCAATATGATTACAGTGTATGATGGTTGATGCCAATTAAATGTGCAATTAAATGTTCTGTTATGCTAAGATGTGTCCTTGTCATCGACATCTTAGAGTTAAGAAGAGTATAGTGTGTACCTTCTTTCCAAGACATATTTAGGAGACAACATTGGTTATGGTAACGGGGTCCTATGAATCCTTTCACACTGACTTTCCGGTTTCCATTTCTGAGGTCACACAATGGGTTTGCTGTGCCTGTGTCATCTTTCATTGACTCCTGTTATATTTGAGCGTCTTGGATATTTCACCAACATGCTACTATAGCTTTGTTTAGTGGAGCAGACTTTATTGGTGTTTGCTTAGGAGTTTCTGGTAATTGCTATGTAAATGTGATAGTAATCTTCACATAGTAATGTTCTTGATGGGAATGGCACCCACTCTTCTCAGTACTTAACTAAATCATGTGACATCAGAATAGCGTGCTGTAGTTTATCTCTGCTGCTGGTAAGAAAACCAGCAGTGTGGTGTGACCCTGCAAAGCATGGTGTGTTGGAGGAACTACCGCCATCATGGTAACACTTCGGGTAACACAAGCAGTGCACCTCTAGAATAGGCGCCGTCTAATACACTTGGATTCCATAGTCACACCAGCCTGTACAATATAGGTTCCAACATACTGAGATCCTCCTTCCTCGTCTGTCAGTGTACCCAAGCTGACGTCACTGGAAATCGTGTGCCCAGATCTTTGTATTGGTCATAGACAATGATAATAAGAATGGCTGTCTGCAAGCTACCGTGTCTTAATCTACCCATTTGCACATTACCGTTCTGTGGCCCTCACAACCTTACGCTTGTTTTCAGTCCTTCAATTCTTTCCCATTTGATTTATAAACATCCAGGTTAAATGTCCTGATTTCACAGAGGATTCTGTTTGTCCGAGATTTTTAATGTTGCTGACTGTCTTCTAGACTAAGTTGAGTAGTTTTTTATCAGTAGCCTTCTGATAACTCATATTCAAATTCTTACCATATCACAGGTACTTCCAAAGAGAAGCCTATCATGTTTGACTGTGCAGACAAGAAAGTAATCTTTAAGTTTTGTGTCCCCTGCCCTTGCTTTGCCTATCTGGACTTAATGCTGAATATTTCAGTTAGTGGACAGTCTGTTTTGGAATGAAAATGGCATTTACCTAGCATAACCAAAGATGTATTCATCTTGGAATGATTGTGAGTGGATGTATAATAACTTCATAAGGATGGCAGGAATATACTGGTACTATTTGGACAAACAGCATACGGCATCTACTAGATGAAGGCTCTGGGAACTGTCACTTACAGGAGGCCTCGCTCTGTAGAGTGTGCTGCTGCCAAGAGGCAGTTTTCATTATGCCCTTTAGTCTTAGTCTCCTCCCCTCTCCTTTCACTCAGATCTGCAGGATAGAAGAACAAATTTGTCTTTTGCTTTCTCCCTTTCTTAAGGGACAGTCAGTGGAGTGCATTTGAGTGTCTCTTCAAAATGATGAAAGTCAAAATCTGTGGCAATTCATAACAGCTGGTCTCACCTTATTCTTGGGACTCCGTGGTTACACAAGTTATGTTGCTATATAGGCATGTGCTGGGCCATAGTGATAAATGCCAAATTGCTAAAAATCACACGTTTTTGTTTGTTCAATAAGTTCAATTTCCCATAAAAACTTGTACAGTGAGATCCTAAATTGTACATTCAGGTTCGAGTTAAGTGACGGGAGCTACAGAAATATATTTGGAAGTATCTTTGAAGGTAGTCAGCTAAGACTAGTTAGTGAAAAAAGTAGTGTAAAGAACTGATTTAGTACAGGCTATCTGTGTGTGTGCTTGGGAACCGTGTGTGTGTGTGTGTGTGTGTGTGTGTATGTGTGTGAATACATGTGTTTGTGTGTGCTTGGGAAACGTGTGTGCGCATGCATGCGTTTGTGTGTGCTTGGGAACCGTGTGTGTGTGCGCATGCATGCGTTTGTGTGTGCTTGGGAACCGTGTGTGTGTGTGTGCATGCATGCGTTTGTGTGTGCTTGGGAACCATGTATGCGCATGCATGCATTTGTGTGTGCTTGGGAACCATGTGTGTGCGCATGCATGCGTTTTTTGTGCTTGGGAGCTACATGACAAGCTGTGGTGTGGTTCCCTGGTACCATTCACCTCTTTAAAATTTTTTTTTCATTTTACTGTTCTTTTTGGACAGAATATCTCATTGACCTGGAAAGGCTCCCGGCATTGGGATTACAAGCATGTGTCATCCATCCTGGCTTCCTTTGTTTTGTAAACATGGGTTTGGGAAGTAAAACTTAAGTTCTAACAAATCAAGCATTCTACAGACTGCTTCTCTCCCAGGTGCCTAGTGTGAAGTCCTGGTTTATTCCTAGTACACGTGCAAGGAGACTTGACAAAGGCTGCTCCTAAGAGTGCCACCAGGGAGGGGCACAGACTAAGCGGATGCCAACAGAACGTCCATCCATGAACATGGCTGTAAGGAACTGGAACAGCACATGAATAAAGACAAAGAGTACGTGCTGGAAGTGCCGGGGAACTCACAGATTGTGTTTGCCACACCGCTAGTTAATTTTTAAGGAAGTCTTTGTCGCTTCACAGTAGCACACAGTTTTTTGGTGGCATATCTTTTAGATATGTAATTTTGTAATTGCTATATATTTATTTCTATTTATGACTAAATTATAAGATACATTACTGGATTTCATGATGTCATGCCCCCCCCCCCCCCTGTGGCTCCTGTACCTTTCTTAGAGGTAAATTTTGCTACCTTGTTACAGAGTGTCACATTTTACTGAGTATGGATTCCTTTTCTTTAGGGTAAAACAGGCCCACAAAGTTTTCCCATAGCTCATTTATAAAAAAAAAACCTAACTCGATACAAGATTATTTCTGGTCTATATTCCATTTTAATATGAATAAACATTTGTTGTCACAGATACATAGTAAATAAATGTATCAATGTATTTGATTTGGGACTGAAGATGTATTGCTCAATACACACTATGCACCCATATTACCTTCTGTAATTCAGTGAAATCTTGAATATCTGACATATGTACTTCAAAAGTTTCAGGAAAGTGGTGATGGCCCTTCGCACGTTCACAAAGGACGCAAATTTAATCCAGAGATAATTCCCCAAACAATGTTCAGGTCCTTAGTTTTGTAAATAATTATTCTAGTATTTTTCATACTTAGCCATTTTTATCAAGACACATTTGCTTATGAGGTTACTTCAAAATGCTTGATTTCATAAGGCCACCAGGTGGCACCTTTGTAAAAGTGGGAGCACATTGAGAGAAAGAGATGACTGGAGGGAGATGAGTCATTTTGGACAGCAAAACCTGAGCAAGTGCACAGATTTAGGATGAAAAGTAAAAAGCTTTTGTACGGCACTATTTTCATTTTGTAATCAATAGTATTTTCCTATCACTATTTTCAGTTAGGGGCTATTGACCCTTAGCCAAACACCTTTGTGTATTTGTGAGAGACTGAGTGTGTGTTCCTGATGTATGTCTGCGATTCAAGCTACATAGACCACCTAAGAAAAGTACACTCTAAGAAAAGCTATTGTAAAATTGAGCACATAAAGTTAAGGTCATAATGCGTTATCAATACGTTATTAGAACGGGTAGTGAATATCAGGCTACACTTAACAGTGGAAAGAACATGAATCTTTCTGCTGCCTGCTTTTTGCCCCATTTCCGACCTCTGTTCCTAACGATATTGTTTTCATTACTGCCCCTAACAGGAGGACACTACAGGGTTGGGTGGAAGGGTGTGTGGAGGGAAGGGGAGGAGGGGAGGGAGTGGGAACTTGGACTGGTATTTTCTTTTTAAATCTAATAAATTAAAACAACAACAAACCAAAACAAAAAAGTGGGGTTGTAGCAACAAGGTATAAAGACGTGAAGACAATGGCCAATGTGATTGAGGGAAAGGACTGTATACAAAGTTTTTAGTTTTATTAATCTCTTTAGATATCAAAGGATGTTAAACACAGTAGCACATAATAGGGACTTAAAGTCTGGACTGTGTTTAATCCTGCCTCTCATTAAATCTTTGTGTATTTTATTTTTCTCAATAACACAATAGTGCTCATAGTGCCTCAATAGAATCCTTGCCTTGACTCCTGGGCATACAGACACGGTGCTTAATGATAACACTTGCTAAACATTGGCTGCTGTTAGGAGATAACCACAGGAAGCTTCTGTGGGGAACATATTTGATCTTTTCTCCAAAACGGTGCTTTTAAAACTTTAAAGAATTTGAAGATAGAAAAACAAAAGCTCAGCTTCTCCTGACTCATAAAGAGTATTTAATAGTCCTTCTTTTCCTGTTCTCTCTGGCTCCAGGAAGCTATAGCAAGGGTCGAAACTGGACAAAAGAAAGTAGGCACTCACCATTGTGAATCTGGGTTCTCTCATCATCCCTGTCTTTCAGTGTTCATATATTTCATTTTAAAAGAAAATCACCTGTGGGTTTAGATGGCTACAGACTGCCTTTTCAAACTGTAAGCGCTCCCGGAGGAGAAAGGTTAACTTCGGATCATCTTAAGGTCTAGGTTTCTGATAGCTAACAGTATTTACTTTCGTCTTCTCCCCTTTTGCTCTTGCTGGCTTTGCTACTGCGCAGGGGTGGGAGAGGGGTGGGCGTGGCGGGGGGGGGGGAGCCGTGCCCTGGCGGAGGAAGCTGCCCGTTGCTAGGATACGCCGGCCAGCAACAGAACACCTAAGCAGGAAATGCTGCTTCTGAGGACAGGAGACACCTCTTGGTCTGTAATAGCTGTGTTTCTTGAGCAGGTAAGGGGATACATTTGTCATCCCTCTTCTAGATGACTGCTGGTTCTAAGTGGGGGTGACTCTGGCATGTGGACCTTACGGGGGTGCCAATCTCACTTGGGCACCAGGACTGTCTGGTCAGGAGACAACATTTCTCAACTGAAGAACAAAAACCTTACAAAGCATCACACTTCTTTTTGCCCCTTCTCTAGCTGCTTCCTCTCTCCCCTGTCCCCGATTTGCTATCCTCAGTCAACAGGGACAAGATGGGAGGCGAACATCATGCTTCCTCCTGGTTCTGATCATGGTGATCATGTAATGCTAGAGAAGAAGAAGGTGCCTCGGTGGCCTTCTACGGAGGCCGTTTCCGGTTTGCAAGGCATTCAGGGCCTTTAGACTTCCCTCACCAGGCACACTGCTTTCCTCACTCCTCTCCCCTCGTCGTCTCACCTCCCAGTGGAAGTTCAGTAGGCCTATTTCATAGAAGGCGAGACAGGACCTCGGCCTTACTAGCAGTCCAGATGCAGCAGGTTTAAATGGCAAGAACTGAAATCACTAGAGGTGAAAGAGGCAGAGTTTTTTTTTTAATATGCAATCTTAATAACTATTGTGTATTTATTAATTTATTAATTCATTTATGTGTATTTATTTATTTATTTTTGGTTTTTCAAGACAGGGATTCTCTGTAGCTTTGGAACCTGTCCTGGAACTAGCTCTTGTAGACCAGGCTGGCCTCAAACTCACAGAGATCCGCCTGCCTCTGCCTCCCTAGTGCTGGAATTAAAGGCGTACGTCACCGCCATCCGGCTCTGTGTTTTATTTTTAACATCAGGCTAAAACCTTTTTGAGTAGATAATATATAAAAATCAGGAGACTTCTTCATTCTGGAGGGTGCATGCCTCTTAGCACTGGAGAGATGAGGCAAGGGATGGCAAGTTTAAGGCCAGCCTTCATTACATAATGCTATGCTGTGTCAAGAGGTCTGCACCCCCACCAAAGAGTGTGACAGCCTGTGTTATTCACTGTTCTACTATTGGGAAGAGAGACCATGACCGTGACAACTCGTATAAAAAGAAAGCAGTTAGTTGGAGCCTTGCTTACAGTTTCAGAGGTTAGTCCATTATCACCATGGCAGGGAGCATGGTGGCATGCAGGCAGGTGCTGAAGCAGTAGCTGAGATCTGCATCCTGATCGAGAGAGAGAGAGAGAGAGAGAGAGAGAGAGAGAGAGAGAGAGAGAGAACCTGGCATGAACTTTTGACACCTCAAAGCCCACCTCCCGTGACACACTTCCTCGAACAAGGCCACACCTTGCAATCCTTTTAATTCTATCAGAGTTTCACTCCCTGATGTCTAAGTTTTCGAGTATGTGAGTCTATAGGGGCCATTCTTATTCAAGTCACCACATGATCTAACAATGAAAAATTGGATCACTAGCATCTTTCACCTCCCTGTTTTTTTTCCTCTCCGCCCATACATATTCCAGATGTGTTCAAGGTATATGTGCTATGTAGGTGAAGCTGACATGAGAGCACACTGGTCTGTGCACACACAGCAGATCTCAGAACAGCTTCTCATAGGTACATGAGTGCACACTGGTCTGTGCAAACACAGCAGATCTCAGAACAGCTTCCCATAGGCGCATGAGTGCACACTGGTCTGTGTAAACACAGTAGATCTCAGAACAGCTTTCTGTAGGCACACGAGTGCACACTGGTCTGTGTAAATACAGCATATCTCAGGATAGCTTCCCATAGGTATTTCCCACTCTGAAATATGTTTCATACATTTGTGTGGATGCATATAGGTGTGATGCTTCGTGCGAGGTAGGGTTTCTAAGCGCATCATGAAACTTGGTAACTCATAAACAAAAAGATTCACAAATTTCACTACCAAAGAATCCAAAACTTAAGTCTAGTAAAAGAAAGTATAACAGCAGGGGCAGTGGTGGCGCATGCCTTTAATCCCAGCCCTTGGGAGGCAGAGGCAGGAGGATCTTTATGAGTTACAGAGAAACCCTGTATGGAAAGAAAAAAGATGGTATATCATCAAGTTCACAACTGGTAATACAATTATAACATACAACAAAGGGATATTTAAATACAAAGATGAAAAGAAATATCAGTGGGGCAGCAATATGATACTTAATTTTAAGAAAATTATTTGATGGAACTTAATGGAGATCCGTATGAATTTTGACATTTTCCCCTAATTATGGGAACTTCTTTTATAGAGTGTTTAACTTGTAAATGAAGATGATGTACCTTTGTTACATCCCTACTTTTTACTTGTATGAAACTGGAGACAGTTGAAATGTTCTTCAGTAGAGCAAGAAATGGAATATAATGTGTTTTTCTTAGCTCTGCAGTGAAGTTACTACACAATTGTTGAGAAAAATGAGGTAGAAATTAACGTTCAAAAATGTTAAGTATAAGCCGGGCGGTGGTGGCGCACACCTTTAATCTCAGCACTGGGGAGGCAGAGGCAGGCAGATCTCTGTGAGTTCGAGACCAGCCTGGTCTACAAGAGCTAGTTCCAGGACAGGCTCCAAAACCACAGAGAAACTCTGTCTCGAAAAACCAAAAAAAAGAAAAAAAAAGTTAAGTATAGGCTAGATTGCACACCTTTAACCCCAGCACTCAGCAATCAGGAGCTCCAGCACATGGAGCACATGGATCTCTGTGAGTTCAAGGCCAGCCTGGCCAGGACTGCCAGGGTTGTTATACAGAGAAATTCTGTTTCAAAAAAACTAAAACCAAACAAACAAATAAATAAACAAACAAGCAAACACATAAATAAATATCTGTTAAAGATATATAGAGTGAAAAACAAATAAAACTGTATCAATGTTTAAAATATGCAAAAAGTTTATATATTTAAAGATATATGCTTCTAATTATAAATTCACCTATGAACAATTTGTGAAACTATGTTGCTTGACAGTGAGAAATAAAACTATAGTATTAACAATAAAAGGTTTCTTTTACTGTTTATTTTATCCCTTTCTGTTCTAGTAGCTTTATTTTCTTATTTAAGAATATTATGATTTTAAAATTAAATTAACTTGATAATAATTTTGCAACATTAATTTAAAAACGTGTAATTAAAAACACCATAGATCCAAATTAACCAGACCCAAAGTTTATACAAGTCAATGAACTTTTATATAGCTAGAATAGGCAATGAGATGAAAGATGTGGAATTTACATTCAATTTTATACTTTAAATATCAAATACATTTTATGGACTTGTTTACCACCAAACCCAAAATAGTCTGTGACAAAAATTAGAATTAGGAGGGAGTTATCTTTATATTCTCTTTCATAACTTGTGTTATGAAATTATAACAAAACTTAGAAAGTTTGAAAATTATTTTAAAAAATCTTTCCAAATTGAAGCTGGGATGCATAGGTACCTCCTCCGGCTGGAGCTTCAGAGACCTTCCCAGCTCATTCCGTGACGTGCATGCTTGGTCCTTGATACGTTATATGTGCTGCAGTGAGTGTTTAAACATGTTTATGTATGCAAGCGGAGCGCGTTGACAGGCGTATGGGGAGTGTTAGGAGTGGATATTAATTAGCAGCTTATCCTAGCTGAGCGAAGACGATAGATACCCTGCTGAATGTGTACTCTCTACCCCAGTCGAAATCGTTGCCACGTTTTGACTTGCAAATACAGGACAGTCTCTGTGAAATTACTGTTTATCTTCTAGGGCTGACGAGCAGCACACAGTGGGCCAGATCTTTCCCCAAATCTGAGCTGGTTCACATGAATGGCACTGGCAGTCCCGCGACCTTTCCATGGTGCCATCTGACGGGAGGTGGTACAGACCGAGAGGTTCCCTTGCCAGATTGGCACAATCTTGCTTAGACTTTCACTCTTCAGGACTGTGAGGGAAACAAACCACGTTTCACTCTGAAAACATTAATCTCAGGATTCTAGCATAACTACCTCAACACCTTCTGAACGGAGACCCCGGTGTCCTGGAGACTAGGTTCCGTCATTTAAACAAACTTGCAACCCACGCACCCCTGGAGTTTCAAGTTTAAGCTCTTGGTCACCGCAACTTTGACTCCAATTGCCTTGCAGCACGTCCTACATTCGGTATCTTTTTTGGGGTCAGAGGTCATTGAGGCCTCTGCTTCTATTTGTGAGAGTGGAGCTAATGCAGTGTGTTTTGTTAATCCAGGGTACATTATCTGGCTCTTTGTTTGAAAATTTTAATCCTCTCAATTGCTAGAAGCACTAATACCACACTAGTTTTATATGAAAAAGAAAAAAAAAAAAGCCCCAAACCAAAACCAACCAGGTCCTTTCTTAAAGAGGTATGCTTCATTGATAAGAAAGAAATAAGATTTTCCCCCACATGTTATGAGAATATTATATTCCAAATTCTATTTTAAGGTTCTCTGTTCTTTTTAAATTTCAGTAATTTTAAAATTAAAAGCCCATATGTGCTTTAAGCTGATCCCTCTCACTAGTAAGAAAATAAACCTTAAAATATAAGGATCAGCATTTCAGGCGTCTGAGAGCTTTGTCTGCCTCTAGGTCTGTGCACCGCATGTGTGTCTGGTATTCGTGGATGCCCGAAGAAGGCATCAGATCCCCCGCAGCTGAAGTTTCAGACCCCTGAGAACCACCTTGTGGTGCTGGGGAGCCAAACCCAGGTCCTCTGCACGATCAGCAAGTGCCTTTAACCACAGAGCCATCTGTCCAGGTGCCGCGAGAAACTTTTCTATGTGTAGTAACTTTAACTATTTGTCTTAATTCAGGAAAATGTCTGACCCCGAGGAGCACGTCGAGCCTCAGAAGGTGGCAGCCTCCACAGCCTCCACGGCAGACAGTGAACCAACTGCCGATGTCATCAGCATCCCTCGGCCTTCAGAAGAAGCCGAAGAGTCAGATATTTCTGTGGAGCAAGAGTCTGAAACCGAGGCCTTAACCACTGAGAGCGAGGAAAACACAGAGGCGCCGAGTGAGCGCAGCACCTGGACTGCAAAATCGTCTGAGGCCAAACCCAGGGAAGAGGTCGTGTCCGCTGAAAACGTACCGCAACCTTGGGAAGAACGGAAAAGTCCAGAGAGTCAGAGTCCAGAAGAGGAACCCCTGCTGTTTCTGAATGAAATAAAATCTATCAAGGAGACTCTGCAGGCAACAATAAGAGAATCTTTAGCAACAGGTAGTAGCTGTAGGAGACCAGACATTTTATTACTTGATTTCAAAGGGTAATTTTTTGTTTAGCTTCAATTGAAAGGTTTAAATGTTCAGTTTAAAATTCATGTGTGTGTGTGTGTGTGTGTGTGTGTGTGTGTGTGTGTGTATTTCAAATAGAATAAGTATTAAATATATTTAGCAACCTTGAAAAATGGGAACAGGTTCTGAGTAAATTTATTGTATTTTTGTTTGGCTTGAAGATTTGGAGTTAATTGTTGTTCATAGCTAGCAAGGGATAGTATGAACGTGGAATTCAGATCCTCATTTGCATGGGGTATTCCCTTACATCCCACGCTGCTTTGACATGTTTGTTTGTTTTTTTGGCTGGTACAAATCGTATATACAGCCCAGGAAAAGACATTTCGGCTTTTTTCTGTAGGTCAGCTTTAATGGCATACGCAGAACAACGTGGACGTCATGCAGGTGTCGTCAGTACTTGGTAACAGAGTTGGGGGCAGCGACACAACGATTAAGTCACTGCTCACTGCTCTGCTTCCTCTTTACCAGTGCATTTTGAGAATTTCCTCCCATAGCGAAAAGAACATGGGATCTGATTTAACAGCAGTAACAGCAATGAGGGGCAGAGACAGCTCCTCCCGTCTTCCTCAGTGTCCAAAGAGCTCCGGCAATCTTTTAAGGACCTCAATCAACTTAAGGCAAACCAGAATCCATAACTTCAACACGGAAGGAATTTCAGAACAAGCCAAGATGGTTCAGAGTTGGGGAATTTATTAAAGATATTTCGCTCCCGGCGTTAAGCATGAAGGCCAGGGGAAAGAGAGGCGTTCGGGGGGGGGGGGGCGTAAAAAAAGCTACGCCTGACCGCGTGGGCACAGACTCGGGAGCAGAATCCTCACTGTCTTACTGTCTGCCACATATACCATTTTTGTGGCTTTCAAGTTGCACTTCAAAAGGCTGCCAAGGAACACGTATTTCCTTTTCTCTCTCTTTTTAATTGAGATTATGGGATGGCTTCAGAGATATATTAGATGGAATTATAGTCTGATAAAAAAGAACCACGAGCCAGTAGGATTGTGTAAAGGGGTTCATTCAGTGTGTGACCTTTCTCTACATATGGGTTTTCTCGCGAGATTCCTAGGCCTGGAGCTGGGCGGGTGGGCAGAAAGGCTGAAAGCAGTTTCAATTGTACTGGAATCCTTGCTTCTCACCCAGCAAGAGGCAGACGGCTGAGAGGCAAGGGGCTCCTTTTCCCTCTCATGCCCCTGCACTTCCCCTGCCTACCTGAAGAGCAGCAGCTGACTTGGGTTAAATGCAGTTCTAGGGCTCAGAAGAGGCAGCTCAGATGTGGCTGCAAGCTGTGCCTGCATGGTCAAAACAGCAAGGAGCCGGCTGAGACCACAAAGCGAGCCAGTCTCACCAGACAGAACCCAGTAGCTCTCAAATTAGTTACTCCATGTGAATTTTTTGGTGCCATTTTCGATATTTCAGTATCATGTAATTCCTGATGTTGTAACTTCTACCACATGCATAGCAATTAAAGCCAAACCAAACCGTGTCCTGCTTTCCCTGTCTCTAGAGACAGGTCGCTGATCCCTGCTGTTTGACGATGGTCATTCTTTTTCTCTTTTTGCTTACAGTAAAAATCGTACTTGTTTCTGCAGCCCAGGAGATCATAATGCCTTTTAGAGTTGATGTTCCACTTAGATTCCTCAAGGAGCACTTTGCACGCCTATTACGTATCCCACATTATGTACTGCAAATAACTCATGCAGGTAAGTGTGAAGGCTAATACATTTATCAAGACGCTGCTGGTTTTAACACGGAAATTACCGAAGACCTTTGATTTTAAAACTATCTTAAATACTTACACAATGGAATACTACACAGCAGAAAAAAATAACGACAGTTTGAATTTTGCAGGAAAATGGATGGAGCTAGAAAACATCATTTTGAGTAAGGAAACCCAGACCCAGAAAGACAATTATCACATGTACTCACTCATAAGTGGTTTTTAAACATAAAGCAAAGAAAACTAGCCCACAAATCACAATCCCAGAGAACCTAGACAACCACGAGGACCCTAAGAGAGGCTTACATTGATCTAATCTACATGAGAAGTAGAAAAAGACAAGATCTCCTGAGTAAATTGGGAGCATGGGAACCTTGGGAGAGGGTTGAAGGGGAGGAGAAAGGCAGGGAGGGGAGCAGAGAAAAATGTAGAGCTCAATAAAAACAAAACAAAACAAAATAACAAAAAAACTATCCTAAGTATTTACTGTTTCAGTATTACAATGTGGTTATACGTTAGGTCATTCAACACATTTCTGTAAATGTTTTAGCGTGCATCCTTTGGATAAAACTGTACATCCTCAGAATCACGAAGCACGGTTTGTGCTCTCAAGTCATTTACAGACCAGCAGGGAAGGGCTGCACAGGGGTGGCTACCGCGTGCCACAGAGATGTCCTCAGGGCCTTACTCACTCAGACTTGAATACTACAGAAGAAGGAACCTGGGTGGCTATAAGATGTTTCAGTCAATTGAACAATGAGTTCCAAATGGATGGGGAACCTGGTGAGTGAGTGGAGGAGAAATGAGACTGGATGAAAATGGGCGGTGAAGAAGACAGCACAAATATAGTTTCTGAGTTTTCTGTACATTAAGGCAATTTTCACAATTTAAAATTTACATACATTTTGTGGATGTTGTCGAGACTCTCTACTTAAGTTATTCAGCCTCACGTGGTAATTAGATAAATTCTTTGTGACTGGATGGTCTACCAGGTTAGCATAGCTGATATGTTTATATTGGACACATATAAACAAATCCTGTTTTCACTAAAATGTTTTTTGTATTGACTTATAAAGATGTTACAACAAGTTCCCAGAGAATAAATTTAGTTCTAAATTAAAATTTAAAAGCCTATAGTGATTACCAACAAAAACGATGATGATGATCACAATGGCTGAGTCCTTAGCATGTGTTAGTACTTCTATAAAGTATTCTGCTTATTTCGTCATTTAAATTACACAGCAACTCTTTGAGAGAGCTATATATTACTACTAACTATTTGGAAAGTAAACTCAGTGAACTCCTATAAAGTCGGGGTGTTAATAAGTGGCTGAGTTTGAAATGTACGATACCAAAGAGGGAAGTTTAAACTGCAGGATATTAACTCAAATGCAAAATGGGTGCTTTCTTTCAGCACAAGAACTGTAGCTCAAGCCTGAATGGTCTGCGCCCACTCTAGAAAAGAACATAGGAACAAAGATTGCTCAGGGAACCTGTGCTAGTTTTCCATGGCTGCTGTAATGATTAATATAATTTAGAGTTACAAAGTAAACTTCCTTTGCAATTCTGGAGGATAGAGGTCCTATGTCATTTTCAGTGGGACCGAGTCACGGCGTCTGTGGGGTGCTCTCTAGCTGGGGTATCTGGAGGGAAATCTACTTGCCTGATGATCCTGCTTCTAGAGTTGCAGGCCTGGCATTCAGTGTCTCCTTAGACATTCATTCATCCCCAAAGGCACACACATTTAGACAGATCTCACTTAGCTCCCATCATATCGCCTTTCCCCTGAGTCAAGTCTTTCTTTCCCATTGTCTAACAAGGGCATATGTGCTGCAGGGCACAGCTACACAGTGAGCATTAGCTCTCCGTTTCAAGTCCTTGCTCAAGTCTGCAGTCATTGTGGCTCTGTAAGATTAGGTCCTAAGAATGAGGATGTGGGCTCCTCTTGATGCCACTGTTCAACCTGTCACAAGTAGATTCACTCAACCAGGAGTCCGCTGATTTGACTAGACCAACCAGGGAGCAAGACCCAGAATCCTCCTCGCCAATGTCAGCTTACAGATGTGAGTGCATTTTGAGGATGTGAAGCCAAATCTTTAGGCTGTGCAGTAAGCACATTACCAACTGGACCTTCTTAGTCCTTTGTTGTATTTTTATATCCCATAAACCAGGAAATTATTAGCTGCTTACCTGAGTACACCGGTGTTAGTGCCGAGCAGGGAGGAATGAGGACGAGTTGAAGCAATGTTAACAGGAGTGATGTCTGGTGAAGCTTGACTCCATCTGACATTCATTGCGTTATGACTCTGTTAGAAGAGGAAGGAAGTGAATGATTCCTTGGAATTCTGAGCTGATGCTTTTCTACACTGGAGGGTGGATTGGCTAGTGCGGGGATCTGCTTGCTTGCTATTCCAGTTCCTGGAGTGACAGACCATGCTGAGCCCATTTGGACATGGCCTGTGTAGTCTTTTCTGTAAACAGAAAAAGGTACGTGATTCTGCTCATACTAGAGGATAGTTTTATTTTCAAGTGTTTATGGAGTTTCATGGTTATTATATATTTAAGTATTTATATTTTTATGTTTATGTATTTTGAAGGATTGGCGAGTAGCTCTATTTATAATACTGCATTACTTCTTAATAAATCCACTAGCTGTCCCTATAATGGAGTTTTGCTTCTTTTCATTTTATTTATACCTACCTATGGGACACAGGATGATTATCTGGTTCATCAACTCTGTGCAGAGTTAATCGCGCAATTAGCATCTCCATCTCCTAGCCAGAGGCTCACACTGTAACCCAGCCTAGAAGTCACTCTTTAGCTTAGGTTGTACTTGAACTCTTAGGTTGGTGATTCCTCTGCCTCAGCCTCTCCCTTGCTAAGATTACAACCGTGGGCCACCAGGACTGGATTCATTTCTCATTGATATATAATCACATGCATGTTTATGTCGTATGGCATGATGCTTCAACAAGATGTAAAATATGAACCAATTAGAGCAAGACAATCAAAATTTCCATCTCTTTATTTCTTTTCTAGTTACCTATACAAAATATTAACATGTTTTGAAATACAGTCACTGTCTTGTGGACTTTTCTGTACTAACATTATAGCATGAGGTCGGAATCACTAATACTGCATCTAGTAATTTACTGACATTTCTTCCTACAATCGTCTTTGATATTTTCCACTTCCTTAAAGTAGGAATGCCTGACTGATTGCTGTATATTACGGTGACTATAGTTAACATCAGGTATTATGTACTTGAAAATTACTAAGACAGTAAAATATGTGTGCGAGGTATTGGATTTATTCACTAGATTTAACCATTTCATAGCCTTGGCACATGCTGATTGAAACATCATGTGGTACAACTTAAACATACACAATTTTCTCAATTTAAAGTAAGTAGGAACAAAAACAACCATTTCTTTGCCATAAAACATCTCAACACTTTCATTTTCTCAGGAATAGTTGTTGGGAATAATGAGAGTCTAATACAATATGGAATTAAACCACACGAAATTGTCCAGTTGGAGATATTTTCCACACATCCTGATCAATATCCAATCAGAAGAGTGGAAGGCTTGAGTGAGGGCTCCAAGATCATCACTGTCACCATCCAGACTGGTGAGTTTTCTGGTGTCTCTGCAGACAGTATTTCAGAGCATCCTTAGGTTGAACTTTCCCTTCAGTCTTGGTTTTTATCTCCTCAGGCACCGATCGCTACGAGGAGGTAGCTGTTGAGATAGTAAAATCTGACTTCCACAAACCATTTCTTGGTGGATTTAGACATAAAATAACAGGAGTAGAATACCACAATGCCGGAACACAAACTGTACCCAAAAAGATTCCTGAGAAACCCTCTCTCTTTTGTAGGGACACCCAGGTAATGTTTTTATTGTCCTGTTTGTGTGGGTGACATTATATAATCAACAATTTTATGCTGTATGACTCACTCCCTCCAAATTTTCTAATTGTGTCACAACCTGAACAACTTTGGGATTGACCTTACTGGGGTGACAGGCAATGAAGAACAAACAGGAAAGTGGGGTTCTGGTGGTGCATCATATGCTCTGATGGAGATTCACCAGCTGCCCAGAAACTTGGTCATTTATTATATACCATGGAACATGGAATCTACTGTGGAAGGAGGATGTTATTTATTATATACGTCTGAAGAAGGAGTCAGCTAGTCTGTAGGGGTCTCCTGGGGAGCAGTGTCAGGCTGAAGTCACCTGGGAAGAGGAAGCTGTGGTTGATGTTTTCTGCACACGCTGTGCAAATCATTACTTTGACCAAGTCTGCCCTGGGGAAGGTTTTGTCATTTCCTTGGGTCTGAGGCCTTGGGTCCTTGGCATGCTATGCTCATGGACAATACATCCTCACTCAGGACTTCATCCACGCCTGCATCACCATTTGTATGACAAGTAATGTAACAAAGAAAGAGTAATGCAAACACATAGAAACAGCCTTTTCACTTACAGATGTTTGTAAGATTTTCTTTACAATTGAATTATGTAGCAGGTGCTTATTTTTAATGCTTTTATTTTAGACAGTTTTTCAGAGGAAAAAGATGCAGCAGACTACAAATACAACATCCACTCAGATGAATAAAATTGGGGTGTATGTATCAAACATGACTGATAAACTTCTCAAGCCGGGAAGATATTTTACAGCAGCAGAGTTACACGCTCGCCAGCTGAATGCGGTAATATAGTGTTCACTGGGGTCAAACACGGAAAATTAGACGGATAAGCCTGTTCTTCTTTGTCCCTTACTGGTTCCCCTTATTCCAGTACAGTCAAATGGGGGTTTCTATGAGGAATTGAAGTCATGCATGACATGGCAGTTTGACTTCTCTGATACTTATGTAATCTCTCCAATATTTTAGTGTTTGGATGATTTATCTTTTTTTATCATTTAACTTCCAGCCTAATTGATCTCTTATAGATAACTTAGAAAAGTATCTATTATCTATCATCATTTGGGTATGAGCAAAATATCTATCTATCTATCTATCTATCTATCTATCTATCTATCTATCTATCTATCATCTATCTATCTATCTATCTATCTATCTATCTATCTATCTATCTATCTATCTTTCCAGCACAAGACATGGTCTGTCTCTTGTTGGGCAAGTCTTAAATCCAATTAGAAGGCTCTTGGTCGCTACCAATTTATGTGTGCTGTTATTGCACTCTTGGGGTTGTCACAGCATGTTTCTCATTGTTGTGATTCATAGGCATGTCTGGGTAGGATTGTTTCTCTTCTTTGGAAGCTTGTATGATGCCTTTTGGTACCATAAAAGCTAGGCTTCAGGGAGAGAGCATTCAGGTCAGTCCCAGCTCAGGGGTCGTTGGATCTCGTTTCTGAAGTGTATAGTGTCTTCAGCAATAGGGGCGTACTGTACACCTCTGGATGGCAACCAAGGGCAATAGCAACCTGAAAAGATGATATTGAGTTAGGTAATTCACATCCAGAAAGACAAACGTATGTTCTCTTTCATTGGAAACTCCTAGCCTTCAGGTGTGAGTACATTGCCTGCAGTAACTACAGAGAGTAAATGGGGACAGTTGGCAGTGCAGTGGGAACGGAGAACAATAGGGAGGGGCATACCAGGGTACAGCTTTTCTGATCAGGGAAATGGGAAAGGGGGGGTCCTGTGGAGGGGATGAGAGGTAAATACTGAAGGAGGTAGGAGGAGGCTAAAGAGGAATATACAGATGCAAGTGATCTGATAAGGGAAGAAGGGAAAGAGGAGGCTCTCTAGGTGTGGGGAGGTAACACAGGAGGAGGGAATGGCTAAAATAACAATATGAACATCTGAAAAAGCCTCAAGGGATTGTCTTATTAACCATTTGCCTTTAAAAATACTCTAATGGATGCCATTATCTGTATAAATATAAGTATATAGCTTTTATGAATTTTTCTCATCTGGACTGATGGTGCTCCCTCTAAGTGTCAAAGACCACTGAACAACCCCCACTCAGTACGAGACGTGAAAAGCCCTCTGTTAAGTTGTTGCTGGCCAAGGCTGTCCAAGAGATTCCCAAAACATGCAGCCTACTGATGTTGCCAGTTTTTTTTTTTAATGTAAGAAAGGGAAAGTTTTTATATTATTTTAAAAGCTTCTTTTGGAGCCTTCATGAGTTTAACAAGTTCAAAAGCAGCCCTTACTAATACATATCCTACTTATTTATTTTTAATTTCAAAATGTACTTTCTTTTAATATTGACTCTTTTAGACTGGCATCTTTCCCTTTACTCTGAAGCTACTATGTCTAGCATCATCTTATTGTTATTGTGTTTATGTTAGTGAAAAGGTTCAGAAACTCTAGCTTTGGAATCCAGTGAAGGGCATGTTGCAGTGTTGGACCTATGTTCCTCACCAGCTCACGGGTGGCACCTAGGAATGCATGCTGGTGGAAATTTCCAGATACCACAAATGCCGTTAGTCTGAGCACTACTCTGTTAACTGCTTTTACAAGTGATTCTCTACACAAAAGTACATTGTTTTTGTTGTTCCATGAGAGGCCTTCTAGCTTTATTTTGGGGGGGGGGCTTTTTAAAAATGGACAATTATTCTTTGGCATATACTCAAAAGAAATTTGGATGTGGCCAGATGGATTAAAGCAGAGAATAAAAGAATATTTTTCTCCTTGCTCTCCAAGGTTAATTATTCCAGGAGACAATTTCACAGTGTCCCTAGCTGTGGGGAATCACCTGTGCTCATGTTCAGGAAGTCCATGGAGACTCCACTGGGTAGACATTATCTAGTGCAAGTCTATATGAAGGTCTACACAGTGAAAAATTCTCCTCCGTGCTTCCAGATACAATAATGGTCTTGCCCAGTTGCTTTTCAACCTTCCTAATGGCGTGACCTTTTAATACAGCTCCTCATGTTGTGGTTACCCCCACCATAAAATTATTTCATTGCTACTTTATAACTGTAATTTTGCTACTGTTTTGAATAATAGTGTGAATGTCTGATATGTGACCCAAGGGGTTACAACCCACAGGTTGAGAACCATTAGCTCTAACCTGTTTTTAATTATATACACATGTACTTCTTTGCTATATATTCAGAAAATAAAATTTTGTTGTAAATATATGTATGAACTGGTAGCCACTCTTTAAGCTAAGGACAATTAGTTTTTTTTTAAACTGCTGTAATGTTTATTGAAATAGTCTTTGGCTAAGCACTTCCTATACCTACTGCTATTGTATAAAAAATGGTTAATTGCTTAACGCCAGACAGCAAGGAAATAGCAGAAGGAAGATTTACAATAACTTTCTAGAGTCTGTGCTCTTTTTGAAAATTATTTATTTTACATCCCAACTGCAGCCTTCCCTCCCTCCTCTCTCCTCCTTCTCCCTCCTCCACTGTCCGTCTGCCCCCACACCAATCCACAACCCTTCTTATTCTCTCAGGAAAGGCAGGCCTCCCATGAGAATCAGCAAAGTGTGGCATATCAAGATGCTACAAGATGGAGCACCTCCCCTTGTATTCACACTGAGCAAGGCAATCCAGCATGAGGAACAGGTTCCCAAGATCCAGCCAAAAAGTATCAAGACAGCTCTGCTCTTTTTGCTAGGAGTTCCACAAATAGACCAAGTTACACAACTGTCTCATACATAAAGGGGGCCAAGACCATCCCATGCAGGCTCCCTGTTGTTGATCCAGATACTGTGAGCTTCCACAAGTGATGTTATCCATGTCTAAGGGTTTTCCTTTTCTGTCCCTGATTCCCTGGTTCCTACAATCCCTTCTTACTCTCCTCAGCAGGACTCCCTGAGCTCAGCCCCATGTTTGGCCATGGACCTCTTAATCTGCCTCCATCAGTCACTGGATGAAGACCTCCATCAGTCACCAATCTGATCCCAGGGGATGGCCAGTTCAGGCTATGCATCCACTGCTGTCAGGAGTCTTAGCTGAGACAGTCTTTGTAGATTTGTGGAGTTTCCCTTACATCAGACTTCTACCCAATGCCATAAACAAAGCCCACCTTTCCAGTCATCTTTCTCAGCACTCTCCCCTTTCACCCATCCTCAAACTGATCCCTCAAGATCCCATGCCTGCCTGCCCCCAATCCTGCTAGGAGATCTCCTCTATTTGACTTTCCTTTGGAGATCCATGCATCTCCCACTTGGGCCCTCCTTGTTAACTAGCCTCTCTGGGTTTGTGGATTGTAGCATGAATATCTTTTATTTTACAGCTAATGGCCACTTGTAAGTGAGGACATACCATATTTGTCTCTCTGAGTATTGGTTACCTCACTCAGGATGTTTTTTTTTTTTCTAATTCCATCCATTTGATTTAAAATATCCGGATATTATTGTGTTTAACACCTAAGTAATACTCTATTGTACAAATGTACAAAATGTACCACATTTCCTTTATCCATTCCTCATTTGAGGGACATTTAGGTTGTTTCTAGGTTCGGACTATTAAAACCAAGCTGCTCTGAACATAGTTGAGCAAGTGTCCTTGTGTAATTGGGCATTCTTTGGGTATATGCCCAGGAGTGGTATATCTGGGTCTTGAGCTAGTTCAATTCCCAGTTTTCTGAGAAACTGTCATATTGCTTTCCAAAGTGGCTATCCAAGTTTGCCCTTCCACCAGCAATGGATGTGTATTTCTCTTGCTCCGCATTCTCACTGGCAAGAACTGTCACCTGCGTTTTTTTTTAAATCATAGATATTCTGACAAGTAAGATTCAATCTCAAAGTCATTTTGATTTGCATTTCCCTAATGGCTAAGTATGATAAAAATTTCTTTAAGTGTTTCTCTGCTATTTGAGATTCTCCTGTTGAGAATTCTCTGCTTAGGTCAGTACCTCATTTTTAAAATTAGCTTATTTGGTTTGTTGATGTCTAGTTTCTTGAGTTCTTCATATATTGGAGATCAGTCCTCTATTGGATGTGAGGTTGGTGAAGATCTTTTTCTATTCTGTAGGTTGCCATTTTGTCCCATGGACAGTGTCTTTTGCCTTAGAGAAGTGTTTCAGTTTTATGACGTCCCATTTATTAATTCTCAATCTTAGTATCTGTGCTATTGGTGGAAGTTGTCTCCTGTCCCAATGTGTTCAAGGTTATTACCTGCTTTCTCTTTGATCAAGTTCAGTGTAACTGGATTTATGTTGAGGTCTTTGGTCCATTTCGACTCTTGAGTTTTGTGCAGAATGATAAATATGAATCAATTTGCATTCCTCTACATGCCTACATTCAGTTACACCACTACCATTAGTTGAAGATCCTCTCTCTCTCTTTTTTTTTTCCATTGGATAGTATTCTGGTTTGTTTTCTGTCAAAAATCAAGTGTCTATAGGAGTGTGGATTTATGCCTGAATCTTTGATTTGATTCCACTTACCAGCATGTCTGTTTTATGCTGTTACCCCGTGTTTTTATCACTATAGCTCTGTAGTAGCACTTGAGATCAGGGATGGGGATACTTCCAGCACTTCTTTTATTGTACAGATTAGTTTTAGCGAGGCTGGATTTTTTGTTTTTCCATATGAAGTTGAGTATTGTTCTTTCAAGCTCTGTAAAGAATTGTGTTGGAATTTAGATAGGGATTGCTTTTGGTAAGATGGCCATTTTTACTATGTTAATTCTAGTGTTCCATGTGCACAGGGGATCTTCGCATCTTGTGATATTTTACCCAATTTCTTTTTTCGAAGACTTGAAGTTCTTGTCTAACAGGCC